AGATCAAAAACACCAATGATAGCTTATACTGGAGAGGATGTGGAGAAAGGGGAACCACTCCTCCATTGCTGGTGGGAGTGTAAACTTGTACAGCACTGTGGAAACCAGTATGGCGATTTGTTAGAAAATTAGGGATCAACCTAGCTCAAGACCCTGCAATACCACTGTTGGGCATATACCCAAAGGAGGCCCAGTCATACCACAAGGACATTTGCTCAACTATGTTCATTGCAACAATATTTGTAACAGGCATATTTTGGAAACAGCCTAGAGCCCCTCAACTGAAGAATGGATAAAGAAAATGTGGTATATTTACACAACGGAGTACTACTCAGCAGTAAGAAACAATGACATCCTAAAATGGCCGTTACTAGGAAAAAAAAACAAACAAAAACAAAACAAAACAAAACAACAACAACAAAAACAAACAAACAAACGAAAACATCCCAAATGAGGTAACCCAAAACCAGAAAGACAAATATAGTATGTACTCACTCATAAGTGGATACCAGACATAAAGAAAAAGATACCCAGCCTACAATCCACAATCCCAGAGAAGATTGAACCCTCTTCCACAAACAGATGGAAGCAGATGCAGAAATCCACAACTAACCAATGGGCCAGGCTCCTGGAGTACAGTCGAAGTGAGGGAGGAGCGATAATATGAACAAAGGAGTCAAGACCATGATGGGGAAACCCACAGAATCAGCTGACCTGAGCTAATGAGAGATCACTGACTCAGGTCTGACAAATGGGGATCCTGCATAAGACCAAACTAGACTCCCTTAATATAGGTGACAATGGTGTGACTGGGATAATATATGAGGCCACTGGTAGTGGGTTCAAGATCTAATACTAATGCACAAACTGACTTAATGGAGCCCATTCTATATGGGGAGATACCTTGCCCAGCCTAGACACAGGGGTGTGTGAGGTGGAGAGATGCCTTGATCCTGCCTCAACTGTTCCTGGTGGAGGTGGCGGCTGCGATGGCAACTGCACTACACTCTGGTTGTATTCTGTTTTTTAAGTGAATGATTACAGTGAAGATGAGTAAAGCACGTGTTTCCAATTTCCCTTACACAATTAAACATTTTATGTATTATAGGTGAGAAAGAAATTATCCCCGAGAACCTACATATGCTTTCGTCCAGCATTTTGCTATTACAGAGTGTAAGCAAGCAGGGTATTTCTCTCAGCTAGTTCTTTTACTGGCAGGCTGTATTTTCCAGTTACCAGGAAAGGATCACTCATTTTATCATCTCAAAAGGTAATCTTATAAATAATCTTAAAAGAATCACAAATCTAAACTTTTATATATGAAAGACAATAAAATCTACTTTAAATCCTCATGTATGCCCATTCATCAACCATTTTTTTTTTTTTATATCATGAAGCTGAGAGCAGAAATGGGTACAAGGGATTAATTATCATCTTTGATCACTAACCCATCTTAGCAAGTCAGCAATAGTCAGGCTGCCATTGTTTTTGTTCACTGACCTCAATGAGTCCCTCACTCAACTATTAAAACTGTGTCTCTCTAAACTTTAAATTGTTTCCCAAGATTTTCAAAGCCATTAACAAAAGCATCTTAACCTAACCATTTTTTTTTTTTACACACAGTTGCTATTTCTGGAGAGACCAGGAAAATACACAGTAACAATTTCTGGAGAGACCAGGATAATATACTGTTAGGAGCAGTTTTTCTGCCTGCCTGGACCCAGAGCCCCGCCAGCCCCAATTAATACACAGAGAACCAAATAACACATAGAGATGCTGTATTAGATATAAAGCGGTTAGCCTGTTACTAGCATTACTTATTGGCTAGCTCTGTCTTAAATATTAACCCATTTCTATTAATCTAAGTGTTTCCATGTGGTCTTATCGGAGAGAATTCTGCTCTCCCTGTCCTACATCTTGAATCTCCTCCTACCTCTTCTTGAATCATCCTTCTCTCCTAGTCCCGCCTATCTTGCCTTTTTAACATAGCAAAATATATAACAAAACAGTTATCAAATAAGAACCACAGTTAACAAAGTTCAATCCATTAATATTTAGCAAGATTTAAAGAAAATATTTTTATCATCTATCCTATGTTTGTGAGTCTAAAGTCCTATATGTAACTTATCTTTAATCCTAACTAAGGAAAACTATAACCATAACTATCTGTCTTCAACTCTTTCATAGACCACAGAAGGATAATATATAAATTCTAGAAATGGCAGAGACAACTCACTGCCTGGTCAGTCACCTGAAGTTCTTCTGTAAAGTTCCATCTTCAGCCTATAGGCCATAGTGTGTCTGGCAGACTCTTCAGCAAAGCAGGAAACTTTAAACTGTCTTCTTGTATTGGCAGTTTGTCATTCACTTTTCTCTGTGTCCTGCAGACTGTCTGGCAGACTCTTCCATGAAACAGGAACTCTGTAGCAATGTCCATCTTGAATCAGCAGTCACTTTTCTGTGGGTCCTGCATGTCCAGTTTATACAGCATAAAGTCAAACAGTTCAGACAAGACCAGTATCTTGCCTAAATGGCTAATCTTGCCATATCGAAAGCAAACTTCATAATGTGTTTCTTTGATGTCCATCTTCCTGGAGCAGTTACGTCTCACCATCAAGAAAAACCCTAAACCATTTTAAATGCCATATTCTGTAGGTCTTTGAAAGGTTTGAAGAATGCCTATCTATCTCAAATACATCTCTATATATCTAGAAAATCTAACTCACCTAACTATAAGTTTTGACTATTATAGGTACCGATCTATAATCTGTACTAAATTATACATTACATTTATAAATGAGCTATTTAAATACAATACCTAAACAAGAGGAGAAATATACATATCACAAAATTGTCCTTAAATTATATCAATAAATGAAAATCCATTCCAAGACAAAGTAATCATTTCTATACCATAATCCACTTTTTACCTTCAAAAAGAGATTGGTTGTGATCATTAACCATTTATAACCAACTCCATATAAATGAAAACAAACATTTATAAACGATATTTGGGAATTTGGGCATCATTCTTTCCAAACTGCTTCCTGCTGGTAGGGGTTGCTGTCATGGGGATCCTAAGAAGATGTAGAAATCCTGGCTGTAGTCTGCAAGGCTACCTTATCCCAGCTGTTTTGAATGTTGGATCACCTGGGATGCTGTTTTAGGGGGTCTTGCTTGATCAAACCATGTTAGTCTGGAAGGAACCCACAACTTTGCATTTTCTGTGGAAACAAAAAACAAAGAAATCCTTTTCCCCAGTAACCTGTCCTTGGACTTATATTTTGAAGTAAAACATTTTTAAAATATATAAATTGGATTAATTCAGCAGTATTTCTTTTAAAAGTTTTTGTTATTTCCTCAGAAGTCAAACAATTTAAAGACAATACGATAACATACAGTATCCAGATTCATTTTGTGCTTACCATCTTTACATGGCTTTTACTCTATTTCTTCTACTTGTATTTTTTCATTTTTTGAGACAGGGTTTGTCTGTGTAACTTTTATCTGTCCTGTAATTAACTCTGTATATCAGGTTTACTTTGAAATTATAGAGATCTGCTTGCCTCTGCCTCCCGAGTGCTGGAATTAAAGGTGTGTGCCACCACACCTAACTACTCTCTCTTTTTATTATTCTTTTAAAAACCATTTTATCCTGTTTCTTTTTCTCTCCCGAGCCTACATATATTTTAAAACACACTGTAAACCGTTAGAGGCTTTTCTTAATCTGAATCTGTCTTTACTTTAAATCTTTATCTTTTTCTGTCCACGAGTAAACAACAACATTGCTAAACTGAAAGCCACAGCTGTATTAACTGCAGTCTATCAAAGATGGTGGTGGGTACTTTTACTGCCAGAACTACTTTGCCATCCAGCAGCATGAAGCCAGCTTGGAGATGTGGTCACTGCCATTGTCAGCTCTCCTATGCACCATTCACCTGTTAGCAGAGCTCTTTAAAGCCTTGTGGTTTTTTTTGCCACTTACGCTGAGTCAGGAAACCTCCCTTAAAGGAGCCGTGTAAATCTCTGCTTGTCTCTAGCAAAACCAAGAAATATGCTGTTACCAAGAAGCCTTGCTTGTCTCTGTTCTTTTGTTTCTAAAACCTCTTTAAAAGCTTTTGTTAAGTTTTAAGTGGAAGTTCTTAGCCACATTGCTGGCGTCATTTTGTTAGGATATGGATTTTCCGCCAGCCTGGGCCCACAGCCGAGCCACCCCCAAATAATACACAGAGACGCTGTATTAGATATAAAGCTGCTGGCCTGTTACTAGTGTTTCTTATCGGCTAGCTCTGTCTTAAATATTAACCCATTTCTATTAATCTAAGTGTTTCCACGTGGTCTTAACTTACTGGAGAGAAAGGCCCGGAGTCTGCTCTCCCTGTCCTCCATCTTGAATATCATCTCACCCTAACCTTAAGTCGTTATTTACAGCTTTGTTTTAGCTATGATGACACCCAAACCTGTGCATACCACAGTCTGTATGACCCCTCAAGAGGAACTCAAAAGTCCTAGCTGTGTGACACTGCCTTGTTCCCATTTCCCACCTTTTGCAGCCCCTGCTTTATCAGGAATGGGGGCAACACTACATCCTACCTTTATATTAATTTTCCCACTAAACTAACCTCCACCCTAGTCCCTTACTATAATTGTTAAAAGCCTCTAATCATCAACATTCTATTTGAACTAACACTATTATGGTATAAAATCATTACTCTGGTTAAACAGTACAGCTTAGGAGGAAATCGTCTTCATAATAATCCACAGGTAAAAATGCCCAGTAGAACAGGGTATTTCTATGAGATAACCACACTACACTAAAGGCAGCGTGGATCCTCCCACATCCATTCACGCCGTTGCTGATACCAGAGAAAAATGGCAGCAGCAAACACGGAAAAGCACAGCGGCAGCAGGGGACATTCTGGAGCCGGAGCCCTAGGTGCCTGGCCCATCTGAGACTCACCCATCCGAGCTTTGCTGCTGCTGGGTCAGTCTCCTAAAGCTCAATTGCCCCCTGCTGCTTCAGTGACAAGGTACAGGTACACCTCAGTGAGAGCAGAGATGCGAGGACTCATAGAGCAGATGTAGAAGGCTGGGTACTGCTCAGCTCCCAGTGTACTTCCTGGCCAAAGATACATAAAAGTAGGTTGTTTTTCTGCAATGACATACGGGGGTTTGAATGAAGGAGCCACAGATGCCAGAATGTTACCCCCTGGTGACTATATTTTCAGGAAATTCAGGAAAAGCCTATATTCCCCCCCCCCTCTCTCTCTCCTGCTCCAGGTGACTGCTAAGACCCAGAGATCATAATGCTCCCTCTGGAGAAACTGCATTTGGCCTGTGACCAGATTTGAGATTGTGAGATTTTGTAGATATAATAAAGATACAAATCCCGAGTACTGGATGTTCATTTAAACAGAGATTGACCTGGGTGTGCTTGACTTCATCAGATCAAATCAATTAAAAAGAAGCTGTTTTCTCTTTGCTGTGCATCTCCTTGCCGGTGTGCTAACTGGGATTCCACATGTCAGGGAAACCTCTAGCCCACAGTTAGTAATGGTGTAGCATACCCAGCCACACGGTTCCTGTGTAAACATGTTGACTGAGCTTGGAAGGAGATTCTTTGATCACCCAGATGAGAATGCAGCCATGATAATTCCTCATCTACAGCCTATGAGAGCCTGAGGAGAGAATCCGGAGATACCCTGCTCAGACTACAGGTGTTGGGGTCTTAAGTCATCAAGTTCGAATTAGCTGTTGTGTAGTAGTAAGAAACCTACAGTCTTGTGATGCAGGACTGTAATCCTGAAAACTCTCAGGAGATGCGCATCTGAGAAATATTGTCAAGGATTATTCTGTTGAGTGTTCCTGCTCCACATGGGGAGGATGCAGAAGCGCAAAGAAGGCTCATGTAGAAGAAGAAGGTATCCGGGAAGCGAATCTTCCATGACCAGGGCTGTGCACTCTTGGTCCTCGAGGGTTCAATGATAGGACAACAAGAAAACGAAACTGAGCTGGTTGCGATGTCGTGATCCAGCAGTCAGGGGGAAATAGACAGTCAGGTTGCAAGTTGAGGGTCACTGGGCACTAGATAGTGATTTCCAGGTCAGCTCAGGATATATAGTGAGAACTTAATTCCTCGCATCCCCAAAGAGATAGTGAAAATGGAATTATAAAGGAAAGAAAGCAAAGAGAGTGTGTCCACACATGTAGAAAATACTGTGGGAAACGGCGTGACTATTGGACATGGGGAAAGACACAGCTGATAAATCCAAGGCTGTGAGCCCATGTTGGTGATGGATACAGAGATGCAGGTGAGAATCAAGGCAGTGAAAGCAGCTGTGGCATTTGTGATCTATGGAAGAGGGGGTTGTCATACCAAGCACATAGAAATGAAGACATGTTAGGGTCAGAACATCAGCTTCAATGTTCAAAGCTCTTATTTTTAATGACACAGAAAAAGTTTTTTTTTTTTTTTGTAAGTTTAAAATTGCTGTCTAGTTAATCTATTGACTAGAAATGCTTTGGAACTAGATCAGAGATGCCTTTATTAGCAAGCAAATAGTTAAATTATAAAGCATACAGAGTGGGACAAACACACATAACTGTTTAAAAAAAATTTCTATTTCACAGCTTCCTCCTTTTTGGAAACAATATGTTCAGGGTTCCAGGGCTGAGATGTACTGTGAAAAGACACAGCTCAGAGACGGAGTCTCAGTGAGCGGCAATCCCAGGAGGTTTTTGTTTAGCCCTGCAGCACTGTGGGAGGAAACTCCTTACTCTGCTGACAGAAATAGGTTGCAGCATCATCAGCCTCCACAGGATGGATGGTGAGCGTGAAGTCTGTCCCTGACCCACTGCCACTGAACCTGGCAGGGACCCCAGATTCTAGGTTGGATCCTGCATAGATGAGGAGTTTGGGGGACTGTCCTGGTTTCTGTTGATACCAGTTTATAAAATTGTAAGATGCTATAGAGACACCCTGGCTGGCCTTGCAGGAGATGGTGGCCCTTTGCCCTAGAGACGTGGTCAAAGAAGCTGGAGACTGGGTCAGCACAATGTCCCCAGTGGAACCTGGAATGATAAACACATATCACTGTCACAGATACACTAAAAGCAGTCCAGTGTAAAACTATCATGCATGAGGAATCTATAACAGCAGTCATGAGCTATGTTCTGAGGAGCTATAAAACAAAAGAGAAAATTAAAACTAGCAAAATGCCATCATTTCAATGATCATGACACCAAAGCATAAAAACCAACTGTGGCCACAATGGATATGCCCAACACTGCATCCTCTCACCTGGAACCCAGAGCAGCAGTACCCACAGCAGCAGAGCAGCTGACCCCATCTCTGAGACCTGGACTAGAGGCTGCTCCCTGGGCACTGCAAGCCGCCTTTAAAGATGGTGTGAGGAATCTGCACTGGGGTTGATGCCTCCATATGCAAATCAACCCAGAAGAGCTTGACTTGGTGCTCACAGGACACCTGCTCTTGTGTCACCCTATGGCAGTTAGGATTAGCAAAGAGTCCCCTTGAGTGTTGTAAGCGGTGTATCCCAGGTGATTTTGTGCTGGCCCTGTGGAATCGTCACGTTCTGTTACTGTGAGTGTCCATGTGGGGAGTGCACTGTCCCTGCTCTGCTGTAAGGATGTGATTTGTAGGAGCACTCTGATCAAAAGGATTCAACTTAAAAATAAGTCTTTTACTGACTCTTTGTGGGTTTCACAGCAGGCAACCCAATTAAACATCTCCTTGTCCCCCTCGCTCCCACCCTGCAACCTCCCCACAAAACAAAATGTAAAAGTAAAACCAAATCCCCCAAACTTGAAAAACATCTGAGCATAGAAGCTGTGGTGTGGCCCACTGAGTCACACAGTATATACCCTGTAGCCCACGCATCTTTACTTGTCAGTATTTATTGAAGAGTCACTCATTGGTGTAGTCAAGGCCTCTGGGTTCTGCTGCACCCTCATTGGGAACCCTCTTGGACATCCTATCGTTGCCTCGTGTTCTGGAGATTCTGTAGCTCTGGATCTGATCGTCTAACCCCTTCAGCAGTTCATAGGTGAGGTGGGGGTTGGAGTCGGCTACTTTTTAGTTCTGGTTCTGGGCCTGGGTGGTAGCTGGGATGGTCATTCTGCCAGCTTTCTCTCATCATCCCCCGGGTGAGTTCTCCAGCACTGCTCTGGCTAGCTCCACCAACGTCGCAAGCTCAAGGGGCAGCAGCTCTCACACCCCAGGGTCACTACCAGGGTCAGCTCTACTGTTTTCCCCAGGTGAGGTGCAGGGCATCCTCTCCGGATTGTTGCATTTGGTGAGGACGGGTAAGACCAGCACATCTGTTTTCATGCCCCTGAGGTTGACTCTTCTGCCTGTCACAGGTGGCAAGGGGTCAGAGGGAAGGCTTGCTTCCTTTACCTTGCCATCCCAGGGCATACCAGGGAGGGGGCGGGGCAGCTCTCCTGCTCTCCTGCCCACAGGCCTGGCTATCTGAGCCCCACCAACAGGGTCAGCTCCAGTGTATTGCCCTGGTGAGATGCCATCACTCTTCCCTGTGCTGAAGCGAATGATGGGCAGGGCCAGTTGTCCCTCTCTTGTGGTCCTGGAGCCGGCTCTCCCCCCTGCCACATGGCAGATGAGGGGGTGGGATCAGTCCCGCTGCTCCCATGACCCCCAGCCTGGGTTTTGGTGCAGTAATCCTGGATTGGCAAGGCATATCCCTTGGACATCAATTTGGTCACAGGTAATGGACAAGACTCTGGGCGTTCACACGGCCCTTGGTGGAAAAGGGAGCCACAGACATCTACACAGACCCTCTCAATTGTTTTAGAGTCATGGACCAAGTCATGGCGCGGAAGCCGTCCAGACACCTGGCCTTGAGTGTCTGCAGGGCATCTACCTCCACCCACTCCTACTGCCCTTGCCTGTTCAGGTCAGGGGTGCCTCTCTCCTCAGAACCTTCACAATTCTGCTTCTCTTTCCCATTCCCACCATGTACTCACGTACCCCATGGGTGCCTTTCTGCCAGGTGGGTGTGTTTGTGGGTCAAATCCTTTCCACTTCAAGTCTAGAGACCTGGGGTGGAGCTATGCTTGTCCTCTAGAGTCCGTCAAGCCTAGACCAGAGTTAAACTTTTAACAAATGTCTTTGTATTTATTGTATATAAGTGAGCATCCTGTCTGTATGTTTGTGTACCTTATTTGTGCCTGTTGTCTTGGATGCCAGAAGGGGGGCATGGGATTCTCTCTCAAACTAGAGTTACAGATGGTTTTGAATGTGGATGCTGGAAAGTGAATCCATGTCCTCTGGGCCAGCTCTCCAGGCGATTTTTTTTTTTTTTTTTTTTTGCTGAGAAGGTAATTGGAAAGGTGCTTACAGCAAAGACTGATGAGTCTGAGTTTGATTCCCAGACTCCACATGGTGGAAAGAAAGAATGAACTCATGCAGGTTATCCTCTGACTCTCTCTGGTGAATGCACTCCACAAGAAAATATTGCTTCCTTATCTTTTTTACGTATAGGCTCCCATTTAACTTTTGTATATCCTTCTGGATGTTTTTTTAGAATACGATATGAATTATCAAATTAATAGCAGCCATGGCTGACAGTGTATACATCCCAGGTCGGTAGTATAGCTCTTTTAAAATTCCATCCATAACAGGAAATTTCTGGATGGTGCTATTTTTCTAAATTCCAGGATGGTGATATTTTTTGCCATTGGCATGGGAGTAGTTAACAGATTGTAAAAAAAAAAAAAAAGAAAGAAAATTATTTATCAGATATTTATCAGATTAAGTTGCAAAAATATCCAGTAATTTACTTCAGGTGAAATCCCAGATACTTGTCCTGTGTCTCAGGGTCTCATCAGCACAGGCAGAAAAGATGTGGTAAGCTAGTGGCAAGCTCCACTCTCTGACCCTCAGACAGGCTTTATTTGTGCAAGAAATATATAACCTCGTGAAAGTCCTTGTGGAGAGTTAGTCCTTTATGCAGAATACTCAATATATTTTTATAACCAAATTATGCTATACACATAATATATAATAAAATAATGCCACACATAATCAGAAAATATAGGGGAATTTTCATATTATGTAATAAATCCATAAACATTTTAAAATTAAAGTATATTAATTGTTGGATAAAATTTGGACAATTTTCATAGACTAATCCATAATATATAACATGGCTTATGTATAACACAAAATGTTACATGGGTTATATGCTGGAAGAATATTTTGAATTATTTTGCTATATGACAAATGTATTTGGTTATATATTCTGTTATTTACATAAAAATGTAAACAATAGGACCATTATTGTTTGTAGAACACCTATCCAGGACCTTCTGGCTTTCAGAGTTTCCATGGAGAAGTCAGGTGTAAATCTGGTAGGTCTGCCTTTATATGTTACTTGGCCTTTTTTATTCACTGCTCTTAATATTTTTCTTTATTATGTATGTTTTGTGTTTTGATTATTATGTGGTGATGGAACTTTTTTTTGGCTCCGTCTTTTTGGTGTTCGGTAAGCTTCTTATATTTTCATAGGCATATCCTTCTTCAGGTTGGGGAAGTTTTCTTCTATGATTTTGAGGAATATATTTTCTGCACCTTTAAGCTGGGATTCTTTGCCTTCTACTATTCCTGGTATTCTTAGGTTTGGTCTTTTTGTGGTGTCCCACATTTCCTGGATTTTTTGTTAAGGATTTGTTGGATTTAAGATTTTCTTTTGTGGATTAATCTATTTCCTTTAGTTTATCTTCAGTGCTTGAGATTTTCTCTTCCATCTCTTGCATTCTATTGGTTATGCTTGCATCTGTAGTTCCTGATCGTTTACCCTTTCTTTCTATTTCCAGCATTCCCTCAGTTTGTGTTTTCTTTATTGTCTCCATTTCTGTTTTCAGGTTATGGACTGTTCGAATTGTTTCCTTCATCTGTTTGTTTGTTTGTTTGTTTGTTTTTCCTTAGGCACTCTTTGCTTTCTTTAAGAGATTTGCTGATTTCTTGCATTTTTGGGGTTGTTTTTTCTTCCATTTATTTAAGGGATTTTTCTCATATTGTCTTTGAGGGCCTTTATCATTTTCATGAAGTTGTTTTTAAGGTCATTCTCTTCTGTGTCATCTGCGTTGGGGTGTTCAGGTTTTGCTGGCCTAGAATCCCTAGACTCTGGTGTCATGTAAGTCTTGCTGTTGTTGGATGTGTTCTTATACTGTTCTCTTCCCATCTCTTCTTCCTCTCTTCTCTAGTGGAGGGTGGAGGGGCAGGGCAGGAATGTTACCTGATGCTGGGTCCTTTGTTCTGCCTCGAGGTCCCTCTGGGGAATTCCGTGACTTTAACTTGCAATGATGACGTTTGGCCAGCAGATGTTGCAGGTATATCACCAAAGCTGGCCCAAGCACAGCTGTAGGCAGCCTCACTGGACATCGTGGGAGAGAGACATGGGGATGGGAGAAAAACCCGTGGCAGAGGCGGTAGTGGTGGCTGACGATCACACTGGCCGTGGTGAGCGCGTGTGGAGGACTGCACAATACTCTAGAAAGTCAGGCAGTCGTGTGTGTGTGTGTGTGTGTGTGTGTGTGTAGTGCCCTGGGCAGTGTAGCCGTGGAACGTAAGTGGGGGCTGAGAACAGGTCAGGAGTGTACCCAGCATTCCCGGCAGGCATTGCAGCCACTGAACATGGGTGGGAGTGGTGGCCATCTAACCAAGCTAATGAAGCATGGTGGGTGGAGGAGGCAGGCTCTGAGTCCCATACACTGGTACGGAAGACGCCTATGCCCAGTAGTTGCTGATGTCAAGGCGGCTAGGCACTGGCTGGCTGTGGGGAGTAGGTCACATGGGCGCCAAATGAGGGTGGATAAGAAAGTCCATGAACACCCAAATAAAAGAATAACAATTATTTATTTGGGCAATACTCACCCACTGAAGATAAATAGCCTCATTAGTCTTCTTCCCCTGGAGGCTCAGTATTTTCCTTTCCCTTATAAGGGATCACCTTCTGCACACAGAAGCCACGCCCTAAGACTGGTACCCCAACTATTTGGTGGGAACAAATTCCCACTTCTCCAACTATTGGTGGAACGAACTCCCACCTCTCTCTGTTTCTCTCTCTCTCCTTTCCCCAAGAAATTTGTATTTATTATCTCTTAAAAACACATAAAAAACCTCCCAGCAATATTAAGTGTTAGGAAAGTCAAAGGAGGAATACTGAATGTGGGAGGGAAGAGGCAGAAATATGGTCACGGAGACAGGGATCTCCAAGAGAAACACGTGTCAATAACAATTTAAATGAATAAACAATAATTAAGATACAGTCATAAAGGTCTATATTTTGTTAGAAAATCACTAGATTATGAAGTATATAAGATGAGACAAACATGCAAATCACTTTATAAAAGCTTGCTTCTTTGTTTAAGATCTCTCCCCAAACAAGACTAGAGCTGTGTATGGAGATGTCAGACAGTAAAGGACAGCTCAGAGACTGAGCCCTAGTGAGCATCAACCCCAAGAGGTTTTTGTTTAGCCCTGCAGCACTGTGGGAGGAAACTCCTTACTCTGCTGACAGTAATAGGTTGCAGCATCATCAGCCTCCACAGGATGGATGGTGAGCGTGAAGTCTGTCCCTGACCCACTGCCACTGAACCTGGCAGGGACCCCAGATTCTAGGTTGGATCCTGCATAGATGAGGAGTTTGGGGGACTGTCCTGGTTTCTGTTGATACCAGTGCACAAAATTTATGCCATATGCATTGACACTTTCACTGGACTTGCAAGAGATAGTGGCCTTTTGTGTCATAAACACAGACAACGAATCTGGAGACTGAGTCAGCACAATGTCACCAATGGAACCTGGAATCATAAACACACAGACCATGGTTACACAGGTTTAGAAACCTTGCCAGCAAAGGGATTTTTCATTAAAGAATTTAAGACTCCTTGTGGTCATCGCTTTGAGAAACCAGAAAATCAAAGGGAATGGGGGAGCTTAAAGCCAATTACAAATGCCTTAAATGTAATGATCAAAAACTAGAGGCATGGAAAACCACGGAGGCTACAGTGTCTGCTCCCCACACTTCTCTGTACCCTCTCACCTGGAACCCCGAGCAGCAGCATCCATAGGAGGAGTGCATTTGTCTCCATCTCTGAGTGCTTGAAAAGAGAATGCTTCTTAGTTAGAGTCCTATCAGCTGACCTTAAAGGAGCCTGGGCTGTTGTATAGTAACTCAATATGCAAATCAGCCCAGAAATGTTTGTGCTGGTATTCAAAGGGGCACCTGCTCTGGGTTCACCCATTGGGAGTTGGTGTCAGCAGACAATTTACTAGAGCATGGGAAGTGTATCTTAAAGGAGCCTTGCAGCCTGTTCTATTGAGTCTTTAGCCTGTCATCTTTCTGAGGTGTGATGTGGGAGCGTGCACTGTGGATGTACCATGTACAGAATGTAAGTTATCTCAGGAACAACTTGATCCTTCAAAATTGTACACACCCAAGTGAACATATTATCCAAGAGGGAATGGAGAGTAAAGACTTAGACAAAAGTCACATATTTAATTCTTGGCATGTTTCCTTATTTTCTTTTAAAAATCTGTGTTTCAGTGTGTGTGTTGTTGTCTGTGTATGTTTGTGTGTTTGTGCCTGCTCTTGTTGGAGGGCAACCTCCTTGCCATGGCACTTAGAAGGAGGTAAGGGTATGGGTTTTGCCTTCTGCCTCATCTGAGACAGGGTCTTTTGTTCACCACTGCTCACGAAAGGCTGCCTGGCCCATGTTCTTCTGGAGATTCTCTGGTCTCAATCTCTCATCTTGCCACAACATCACTCTGAGTACAGTCATGTGCTGAGCCTGCCTTGATGTGGGTTCCTGGGACGCGAATCAGGTTCTCACACTTATGTGGCAAGCATGTTACCCATAGAGCCACCCCAGGCCATTTTTAAAAAAAAAATCACTAAAGGAAATTCTTCAGGTTGAACATAACATACTTCTTGATCATGCCCAACCTAAGCCCCACATCTTCATCTGTTTTTTGCATATGGTTGTTAATATGCATTTTCATTTATAGTGACTTCATTCTTGTTGTTATTGACTTATGATTTAAATTTCTATTCCTTAACATTGGGACTTTTCTTCAGTGCAGCAGAACTACCCTCTCATAAGGAAAGGACACTCAGTACCCTCTGACAGAAAGAACACAAGACGATAGGACAGAAGATGTAAGGAACAAGGGATGTTCCTGTGTGGAATGCAACACAGATATGCAAACAGGAGCAACCATTGCAAAGGAGGTACTTGATCTTGGCCCCGAGGCAAGAGATTTGGCAACAGCTCAGAGATGAGCCCTTTAAAATGCACAGAAGGCCCGAATGCGCTGGGTACGGTGAAAGGCTGGGCTGAGCCATATGAAGGAGGACAAAGGAGTTGAGGTGTGAAAGCAGACACTGGCCTGATACTAACACGTTGTAATTTGACAAAGAAGGATGAGGCTCATGTATAGCACAAAGAGAGGCCATGGGTCAACAGTCAACATTAGCTCATGTGAATACTACTTAGTGGATGTTGTGTTTGGCACACGATGAAGAAAATCGTAGTGATCACTTGTTTGTACAAATAATGCTTGTCTGGAGATCAGAGGATGGAGCTTACTACTAGCTAACCACAGAGGTTAGGAGGTGTGTACAGACAGATAGGAAGTGAGATGGCTGAGCAGAGACAGGAAGTGAGAAGGCGGGAGGAGAGAGGGTACAAGCGGGAAGAAACAGAGGCTAGCTCTCTTTTCCACTGGGAATCTAGTGAGGTAGGTGTGGCTGTGGCTTGCTCCTCCTTCTCTCTGATCTCTCAGCATTTTCCTCTAATTCTGACTCTGAGTTTTATTATTTAGACCAATTGAAAACTCCAATTACATTTTGGCATCCAACGTGGGTCAACAATTTTCATATAAAACCTAACGAAAGCTTAAAAAGGGATTCTAAACACAAAATGACAGAATCAATCACAGGTTCTTGGTAGCAAAATTTTCTCAGGTGGGCTTTGTTTGCTAGAGGCAAGCAGAGACTCAGCTCTTTTAAGAGAGGCTCCTGACTCAGTGTTAGTGGCAAAAACCACAAGTCCCTTTTAAAAGACCCTGCTACCAAACACTTAAATGGTGATTATGAGCAACCAGAGACATTCTTCTTGGGGGTGACATGAACCTAGAAATTCCACAGAGTTCTGGCCATAAACATGGCTCCCACCAGTACCTCTGCCATGAAACTAGACTCTCAGGAAGCCAAGGAATGGGGTGGAGCCAGCCTGTGATTTAATCCTAGCTGTGCTGTTTAGCAGATTAAAGACTGATGTGGTCAGAAAAAGATAGAGATATACAGTAAAGACTGTCTCTGGAGTTTCTGTCCAGCCTGGTCCTGCTGCCTTTCAGCCCCAAATAAACACACAGAGGCTTAAATTGATTATAAACTCTTTGCCCAATGGCTCAGGCTTCTTATCGACTAGCTCTCTCTTAATTATTAACCCATGACTATTAATCTAGTTATTTCTACATGGCCTTATCTTACTGGTGATTGCTAGCACCCTACCTTCCTGGTAGCTACATGGTGTCTGTCTGGCAGTTTCTCTCTGCCTTCTTCTCCCCAGAATTCCCCTCATCTGGTAGCCCCACCAATGTTTCCTGCCAGAATACTGGCCCATCTGTGTTCTATTCATCAACCAATAAGAGAAACATATATATAGAAGGACACCCCCCACCATCTCCTCTTTTCTGTCTAAATAAAGAGAAAGGTTTTAACTTTACAACATAGTAAAATTATATATAACAAAACAGTCATCAAGCAAGAACTATAGTTAAGACTATTTGGTCCTCTAATATTTGGTAAAATTTAAAGAAAATATTCTATCATATATCCTATCTTTGTGAGTCTAAAGTTTTATATGTAACTTATCTTTTATCATAACTAAAGAAAACCATAACTATCTGTCTTAAACTCCATCAAAGACCCCAGAAAGATAATATATAAGCTCTAGAATTGACAGATTTTGCCGTCTGGACAGAGAGATTTTGTTTTCTGTAATACTGGGGCATCAATCTTCAGCCTGTAGGCCTAGCGTGTCAGGCAGACTTCTCAGTGAAGCAGGAAACTTGAAACTGTCCCACCTTTATTGGAAGTTGGTAATTTTTCTCTGTGTCCTGCAGAATGGCTGGCACACTCTTCTGTGAAGCAGGAATCCTGAAGGACTGTCCCATCTCATTTTGTCAAGTTCAGCAGTCACTTTCCTGTGGGTCCTGAATGTCCAGTTTATACAGCATATAGTCAAACAGTCCAGCCAAGAGCAGTTTCTTGCCCAAATGGCTAGTCTTGCTCCATAATGAGTATTTTCACTGTCCATCTTCCTTTCTGACATGTAATTGGTATTGCCAGGAGCAGTTGCGTCTCTTTGTCATGAAAACCCCTAATAAACCTTTTAAATGCCATATTATGTAGGTCTTAGAAAGGTTTTAAAGACTACTTATTCAGTTGAAATATATCTCTGTATATCTAGAAAATTTAACAAATACAAGTTTTGACTATTAGAGGTTGGCATCTATAATCTGTATTTAATTATACATTATATTTTTAAAAGAGCTGTATATACACAATATCTAAACAGGAGTTAAAAACATACCTATAACAAAATTGACCTTAAACTTGTATTAGTAAACCAAAATTCATATCAATGCAAAGCATTCATTTCTTTTTTTATTATTTTTTCTTATTTTACATATAGATTCCAGTTCCCTCTCCCTCCCTCCCTCCCATGCCCTTCCCTCCTTCCATCCCATTCCCTACCCACTCCATAGGGAGGGTAAGGCCTTCCAGGAGGGATCAAGTCATTTGGAGTAGGTTCTAGGCCCTCCCTCCTACCTCTAGGCTAAGGGAGTATCCCTCCATGGGGAATGTGCTCCCAAAGTCCTTTCGTGTACCAGGGATATCTCCTGGTTCCACGGTCAGAGGTCCCTTAGACTGCCAAAGCTGAGACCCATGTTCAGGGGGTCTGGTTCTGTCCTAAGCTGGTTTCCCAGCTATCAGACTGGGGTCCATGAGCTCCCCCTTGTTCAGGTCAGCTGTCTATGTGGGTTTCTGTAGCCTGGTCTTGACCCCTTTGCTCATCACTCCTCCCTCTCTGCAACTGGATTCCAGGAGTTCAGCTCAGTGCTTAGCTGTGGGTGTCTGCTTCTGCTTCCTTCAGCTACTGGATGAAGGCTCTAGGATGGCATATGGTAGTCATCAATCTCATTGTCGGGGAAGGGCATTTAAGGTAGCCTCTCCACTATTCCTCACAAAGCATTCATTTTTTATATCACACTCCCTTTTTTCCTTTAGAAAGAGATTGGCTGTGATCATTTACCATTTATAAGCAGCCCCTTTTAAATAAAAAAAAAAAACCCCATTTGTAAACAATATTTGGGAATTTGGGCATTGTTCTCGATAAACTGCTTCCTGCTGTTTGGGGGCACTGTCCCAAGGAGATCATGAGAAAATCCAGAATCATGGCCAACTCCTGACTGTAGTAGTCTGCAAGGTTGCATCATCCCAGATGTCTTAGATATTGGATCACCTGGGCCACTGCTTCAGGGGCTCTTGTTTGATGAAACCATATTAGTCTGGAAGGAATCCATAGCTCTTCACCTTCTGTGGAAACAAAAAACAGAACCTCTTTTCCAAAGTAACATGTCTTTAGACTTTAATTTTGAAGTCAAGGCATTTTTAAAATACAAAGATTGAATTATTCCAGCAACATTTATACTCAAATATCTGTTAGCAGCTGTTGCTATTTCCTCAGCAGTAAACAATTTAAAGACAATGCAATTACATACAGTATCCAGACTTTCTGTATATTTTCCATCTTTATGAGGCTTTTTTTAATTACTGTATTTCTTTTCCTTTACTTTTTCATTTTTTTTTTTTTTTGAGACAAGGTCTCTCTGTGTATTTTTGGCTGTCCTGGAATTCACTTTGTAAACCAGGCTGGCCTTGAACTCACAGAGATCCACCTGCCTCTGCCTCCGGAGTGCTGGGATTAAAGGCGTGTGCCACCACACCCAGCTACTTTTTTCTTTTGGACTTTTTCTATCCTTTTTCTTTTCTTTCCCAATCCTATGCGAATTTTTAAACACACTGTAAATCATTTAGGGTTTTTTCTTTTTCCTGAATCTGTCTTTACTGTGTATATCTTTTTCTGACTCCCTTAATATAGGCAACAGCGGTATGGCTGGGGCTGTATATGAGACCACTATCAGTGGGTCCAAGATCTAATGCTAATGCCCATTCTATATGGAGAGATACTTTGCTTTGCCTAGACATAGGGCCGGGGGTGCCTTGGCTCTGCCTCAAGGAGATGATGAGACAGACTTAGTAGACTTGCTAGGGGAGGCCTTACCCTCTCTGAGGAGCAGATTTGAGGTGGGGTGGGGGAGAAGTGTGGGGGGTGGGAGGAGAGGAGGGAGGGGGACAGGGATTGAAATGTGAAAAATGAATTAGTACATTAAAAAAATAAATCTTTACTGAGCTCATGGCCTGATATGCTGCTGATATCCATGGCATGAGTGATAATGTGTAGAAACTCTGCCATTTATTTTTTACTACAGTTATTTACTTAAATGGTTTCATATCCACAAATTCAAGGCTGAATTCTCTTCTATAAAAATACAAATAGGAACAGATTAGATTCAAATAAAGTCCTGATCTGTCAGTTCTGTGTTCACAGCCAGGTTCAGTCATAATGAGAGGGAATCTGGGCAAGGTGCTCTGCATGGGACAGGGGGACTTAGGACAATCCAAACAGACCTACACCCTACTGTTGCTTGCTTGGTGAAGGCCTACTGATCGCTGTAAAAAGAAGCTTCTCTGACCAAGGTTAAGGACAGCATAGATCTAGTGGTGTAAATATAAATATTTAGAAGGCAGTTTGAGTATGTGACCATTTAGCAAAACATCCACAGTTAGTCTTCCCATAGGATCTATGACTTCCTTAGCCATGGGTTTTTGGCCAGGTTTACAGTACTAAGAATGAAATCTTCCTCTGGAGCATGCTTATACTCTAATCAGAAAAAGGTTGACTTCTCCAGTAGCAGCCATGGGTATATCCTGCCTGGCAAGTCATTTGCCTAGCACTGGATGAAATCACTGATACCTTTTCTCCTTTTGCAGCCTGCATTGGGTCTTCCAGCACTACAAAAGCTACCCAGCAAGCAGGGAGTTTCTTATCCAGTTTGGGACTGACTTTTCTATGTCCAGCATCCAAAGGGCATGGTAACTTTAGTAATAGTGTCTGACCAAGTAGTTATGTTGGGAAGCCAAGAGTGATGGCAATAGCCTGTGTTGTTTTGGGTGCTTTGAGGGCTTCCCTGACCAACAAGTCATAGTACAACAGCCATGCCTAGCACTGTGATTTTTACTTAGTATTCCATGGCTTCTGAGAGCAGACTTGTTCACACATACAGGGAGTCTCTTTTCAAATTCTTTTAAAAGCAATTTTAAATGGCTTATACACTAGTGGGTTTTCATAAGGTTAACTGCTTCCCTCCTTCCCTCCCATCTCCTTGCTCTCATCTTATTTACGCTGAATCCACACTATTCAACCCTTGATAGGGCAATATAGCAAGGATATTTGACTTTAAAGGTTGCTGCTGGAATTGCTAATTTATATTACATGAAAAACTGTCCTGAGACGAAGACAGAATTTCTAAAAGTTTCTGAAATTTTCTGAAAAGTTAGAAAGTGACTATGAGCTGAAGAAAGATGCCCCAGTGTCCAGAGTAGACTAAGAAGAGAGGGGCAGAAGGGAGAGGGAGAGGGAAAGGAAGGGGGAGGGGGAGGAGAGAGAGAGGGAGTGAGGAGGAGAGGGAGGGGGAGAGGGAGGGAGTGAGGAGGAGAGGGAGGGGGAGAGGGAGGGGGAGAGGGAGAGGGAAAGGAAGGGAGAGGGGAAGGGGGGAGGGAGTGAGGAGGAGAGGGAGGGGGAGGGGGAGGGAGTGAGGAGGAGAGGGAGGGGAGAAGGAGAGGGAAAGGAAGGGGGAGGGAGTGAGGGGGAGAGGGAGGGGGAGGGAGTGAGGAGGAGAGGGAGGGGGAGGGGGAGGGAGTGAGGAGGAGAGGGAGGGGAGAGAGGGAGGGGAGAAGGAGGGGGAGAGGGAGGGGGAGATGGGGAGGGAATATTAATTAATGTATCCTGCTTCCTTTTCTGCCTTTTAGTTGGACCCCGTGTCTTTTAAGTCTCTTCTGTGCATGACTGAATACCACAGAGGAGACTGAAGTGATGAGACTCCTCTGTGTAGCAGTCAGTTATGTGTTTTTCACTGTCCACATACTGATTGCTCAGCTGCTTCTCTCAGAGGAATCCCTGAGTCTAGGGCAGGTGCGGTGAGCAGGCCTATGGGGAGTTACTGTTCAGGGCTCAGTCATTGTGGGAGGCATCTTCAGTGTTTGAAGACAGTAATAAACTGCAAAGTCCTCAGGCTGAGGGTCTTCAATAGTGAGGGTGAATTCTGTCCCAGATCCACTGCCAATGAACCTGGCGGGGACTCCATCAATCCTGACTGAAGCATGGTAAATGAAGGTCTGGATGGTCTGTCCTTGTCGCTGCTGGTACCAGGACAAGTAGTGCTTCCCGTCTGTGTAGAGGAGGCTCTGACTGGCTCTGCAGGTGATTGAGACTCTCTCTCCTGGAGAAACGTGAAGGGACGCTGCTGGCTGAGTGAGCATGATCTGTCCCTTGGAAGCTATAACCAGAGGCATAGGGAGACACAGAGAGGCCGTGAGACACTAGGTTAGAGGTTGCTACTATCCGGAGGCCATAACTTGCCAGATCTGGGCTGCAAATGGCTTTTGCTCCTTACTGCTTTCAAACACATACAAACCATCCTCTAGGGAAAGTCAACGTGACATGTTATCTTACCCATGACACACAGGAGGAAGAGGAGGAGTGGGGTTGCCACCATATTGCTGCCTCTCAAGCTTCTGAGAATGCTCTGGTCTAACAAGAAGCTCCATTTATAAGCCCCGATCATGGGGAGGGGCCAGTGAGAGATGTTTAAGCAAACCCAGATGAGAATAAAGGCTGAGCAAATGGGGTGGATGGTTGTGGTTGCACGTGGCTACCACAGCCTCTCATCCTACCCTGCCTTACCCTTACCCCTGAGTGTCACAGGTGCTGTGACTATTGGGTGACAGCCACCGCTACCTCCAGGGTAACCAGCAGTCTGGGCTGAGGGAGATCTTTCTCATGAGTTAGTAACTCCACAGAAGGAGGGCCGCCAGTCACCCCGAACCTGCAGGCATAAGGCTCATTGCTGCTCTGTGAGGCCTCAGACAAGGCTCAGCTGCCCCTGTGACTGTGGGGCACAGACCCTGTTGATTTGGAACACTGCTTCCACCATTTACCTGGGCATGGTACTAAATTGTGACCTGGACACAGCTAATCTAACAACTCAGGAGGCTGGCTAATCTTTATCAATTTATCCTCAGGATGGGTTTAGGCCTTGATCTGTAGAGATTTTCATTAAATAAGTTGAAATCATGAGATGGAATCAGACAAAATTGTTATCATGTTCCCCCATGATACTCATTTCTACCTGGACAGTTACTACTCCTTTTTGTTAGGTAAAATTAGAAAATCCCACAGTTTTGAGAGGGACTCTTGACTAATGTTCCTTAGACGTTTCCTGTCACAGTAGAGCCTACTCTGGAGGCTTGCACATGAACACTTACTCAACACTCTATGTCTCTGCATCCTTGGGCATCGTGGGTTGTCTGAGGAAGAGAGTGAGTAGGTGGACATCTCTCTCTCTTTTCTGGATTCAACTTCCTCGGGCTCCCCCAATGTGAGATAGTGCCCTTCTGTACCCTTGTTAGGAGTTGCTGCCTCTTCCAAAGTCTCTTTCTCTTGGGCACTCAACTCCTACCTTGCAATGCAGGGCCCCTCCCAGAGTTAGTTTTAGTTCACAAATCAGAATCAGGAATGCATTCCTTGTTGACACAAAAACACAGCTCTCACATCAAAGGGGATATGAGAGATAGTTTATTCTGGAGCCAAGTCTGAGTGACCACCGATCCCTGAAACAAAGATTCAAGTTTCCTAAAATACTGTGTTCCAACTTGGCAGGAGTTTTATGAAGATTATATAGTAACTGAACAAAGAAAGCCATAGATCAACACACTTTTCAGATTAAATTGGTGGAAACATCAGGTAGACCAGTTTCTGAAAAGCGAGGAAGTCCCTGGGAGTTGAGGTCTGCAGAAGATTTTCTAGAGTAACTCGAGCACATCCGAAGGGACTTTATGTCCCATTGTGTTCACTCTTCATGCCCTAGCCATTCCGAAGAGGCATATGGGGGATGCCCTGCGGGTGCCTTAAGCAACATTGCTTCAGGAACACTTTGCTCTCTCACAATTAACCCAACAATAATACATTTCCCATTATGATTCTGTATAAGAAAAGGAATAATTTGGGTTTTGTAAAAAAGCGAAAGGAGCTGGCCTGGTACAGATTATAGGTAGAAGTCGTTCCACCTAGATGGCCTTTAAGCCAAATCTACAAATGTCACCAGGCACTAAAGAGGTTGATAGGGATGAGCATGGCCTGCAGATGAATGCAGGGATGTAAAGAAATGGGCAAACTCACCCCACAGTGAGTAAAGCAGGGTCTTCCTATCCTCTAGTCCCAAAGGTAATTCTGGATCAACTCAACAACCTCACAGATCGAAGAGTCATTCCACTTGGCCCTATTCAGAGCGGAGAGCACCCAGTCCCCTACACCATCTTTCTCTGGAAGCTAGAACCAAGGCAGGGTAGTCTGAATGAATGAGAACATTTCTCCACAGACACCCCCTGCCCTTTAGAATTTTTCCCCATGCATTTGAACACTTGGTTCCCAGGTAGTGGTGCCGTTTGGGGAGCTTATAGAACTTTTTGGATGTAGAACCTCCCTGGAGGAAGCATGCCACTGGTGTTGGTTTTTGAGTGTTCATGGTCTCCCCTCCCCTCCGCTCACGCTTTCCTTCCTGTGTGTGGCTGGCTGGAGGTTGAGCTGTGACCTCTCAGCCTCCTGCTTAGGGCTCCTTCCACGGGGCCTCCCTTGCCATTATGAACATGTAGCCCTCTGGACCTGTAATCCAGAACAAGCTCTTCCCTGAGTTGCTTTTGATGGTGGGATTTTATCACAGCACCAGAAAAGAAATGAATCCAGGGAGCATTCTAGTAAATATACTTACTCATAGACAAACACATCAGACATTATAAACTAAAAATATAACTCAGGCATGTGGTAACTACATGTATGGCGTTTGTTTAGAGCCGAAAGGATGGTAGAAGGAAGGGCCTGTGAGGGATTGGCAAGTTGGCAGGGCTGTCCCCTCCAGGGACTGTGGGGTGCCTGGTGCTACCTGGTTCAACAGCAGGAGCCTCCTACGCCCAGTGCTACCCCTGTTCTGCTCCGCCCCACCCAACCCCACCCCATTGTGCCCTGCTTGGTTTCCCCAAAGGTGGCCATTCCTCATGGAAGTAGGAAGGGCAGATGGCCCATCAACCCGCTGAAAACTCTTAGAATCTGCTTGCTGTGGACCCTGAATTGGAATGGTGAGCTTGTGACATCTCAGCTTTAGCCACAGCTTCGTTCCAATGGTGCTGCTATGTGTTCTGCATGATGTCAGCCAGCCCAGCCTGGGCCCCTGGAAGAAGGGCTTTGTACAAAGTGTTTCAAGAATGGCAAAGGTGTTTGCTTTTGTTTGTCTCGTTTTCCTGGGGAAGGAAAAGGATGCAGGATCTAAAGCATCCTCATTGAGTTCTGATTGAGTAGCCTCTGCTTGTGTCCCATCAGTCACCTCATTGCAAGCATTTTGCACACGATTGTGATTTTTTTATGTCAAAAGAAGCCAAAAATTGCAATACTATTTTTAGCAGCCAAAAAAAAAAAAAAAAAAAAAAAAAAAAAAAGAAAGAAAGAAAGAAAGTATAAAATGCATACATTTTTGACTTGAATGTTTTGGGTGGCTATAGGTGCAAGGGGGAACATTCGTCCCTTCAGTGGGATGTTTGGAGAAAAGGACCCAAGAGAGGGTTGTTTTGAAGGCACTGTCTAGGGATTAAAATAGTATCATAACTGTGACTGTTAGAAAAGAAGTTAATAAAATCAGTTGCTCCCCTCCCTCTAAGGAGGGCTTCACAGAACCACTGAGATAGAGCAGACACCACATCTTGGCTTTCTTTTGTTTGGGGGAGCAGGAGGCCTTTATTTTGTCTCTCCTTCTGTGCTGTGACCCTGAAGTGACAAGACTGTTACTTTGTAGCCATGGCTGACTACATTGTACCAATAACTAAAACCACGGTTGGAAACATTGTATCAATAACTAAAACCACAGCAATTGTACGCAAGCTAGCCAGGGAAACCCAAGAGCTACCAGCCTGTGCTCAGATGTTTCAGAGGTGGAAGTCCACGGCAAACAAAAGGATGTCATCATTAATTGTAAAGCGCTTGGTAAAATTCACATTTACAGAATAATAAAGTCAATTCTACCCCCCAAGCCCCCCCAACCCCCCCAAAACAAGAACAAAACAAGAGGAGACAGCAATTGTCATCAGAAACAGATGCAGAGACCCACAGCCAAACACCAGGTGGAGTTCAGGGGATCCCAAGGTAGAGGGGAAGGAAGGATTATAGGATCCAAAAAGGTCAAGGGCACCACAAGAAAATCCACAGAATCAACTAACCTGGGCTCATAGGAGATCACAGAGAATGAACCAACAACTAGCAAGCCTGCACAGGTCTGACCTAGATCCTCTGCATATACGTACAGGTGTGTAGCCTGGTCTTCTTATGGGGCTCCTAACAGTGGGGCCAGAGGCTGTCTCTTACTCTTTTGCCTGATCGTGGGACCCTATCCCTCATACCGGATTGCCCAATTCAGCCTTGGTATGAGCGGAGCTGCCTAGTCTCACTGTAACTTGCTATGCCACGTTTGTTGCCATCCATGGGAAGCCTGCCCTTTTATGGAGAGAAACAGAGGAGGGATGGATGGATGGTGGTGGGGTCAGGGACAACACACTGGGAGAAGACGAAGGAGAGGAAACTGTAGTCAGGATATATATATATAAAAAAATCAGGAACAATAAACAAAAGATAAAAAGAAGAAACAAAGAATGCAAGAGCCAGAGAGTGGGGAAGAGTGATGTGAAATGCCGTCTCCTGAATATGATTTCTCTGCCTCACTCATGAACTCACAGCAGTCGGAGTTACCTATACGCTGGCATAGAAGGGCTTGATGATCTCTAGGTGCAGATATCTCTCCTTACTGAGGACATGCCTGCACCTGACAGTTTCTGGGAGAAGAAAATAACCTTTCCTCCTTTAAGTTGCTTTTGTCAAGTCTTTGCTCACATCAGTGAGAAATAATCCACTGATTATTGTGTTAATTTATCATGGAACATTTGAAAAAGTAAAACAAATCCAATAATAATATAATTTCAAATGTAGTCAGCTAGGACTGTACACTTGAAATGTGCAGAAATGTGTACCTGCATTCAGTCATTTTGTTGAGCTTTCTCGCCACCTTTTGGAAGGATATGGAAGTACAAAGAAGGGCCAAGGTAGAGATAGGAGTAACTAACCTTCTGTGACTGCGGGTGTATAAGCCCAGGCTTCTAGAGTTA